ATAGAGGTGGAAAGAGAAAACCAAGTCCACAAAGTTGTCCACTGACATGCATGCACCATGGCATACTCACCCTCTCAAACACACATCATACAAACAGATGCAAACATGTGAATACACACACACACTTAATGACAATGATTAAAACAAGGATTCAGCCAAGCACAAGGCTGCACACTTGCAATTCCTGCACTAGGTAGGCTAAAACAAGAGGCCAGTGAGTTCAAGACTAGCCTAGGCTATAGAGTGGACTCTAGAGAGATGGGGGAGTTTCAAAACCCAATCTAAATTGGTTGAAGTTCCAATAATTAATTAGTTCCCTTACATCAATTTGTGAATTTTTACCGAAGGGACCTTTTAGTTTTGTACTAACTAGGCCATTAACTATCACTCTGACTTCCTTCCTTTCCTGACAAGAGGGCTACTTGAAGAAAATGGCTCAGTTTTTAATGAATGCCTCAGCCTCTGTTCATTTTTTCATTGAAGACAGAGTGGTTTCTGTGTCTCATCTACTTACTAAACTTTAAAGTAAGCTCAAAAGACTTCCGAATAGACAAGCACTGTGATCACAAAGGTCTTCCATAATCCTTGTAAGTTTTTGATTTCACTTGAGAATTGTGACTCTGTGAGCTGGGCCTGTGTCAGCCATTTGTGACAAACACTCTCCAATGGCACCACACCCTACATCTGACACAATGTATACTTTTACTTGTAAATAATAAGCTAGCTTATTACTTTTAACAGTAATGGTAGGAAACTGTTATTTTGGGTTTTACTGACCACTAAGAGAAAAACCAAAACTACATGGTTCTTTTTAGAAATGGATTAAAAATCAAGAACAGAACCATATCTTAATAATTAAGCTAAATTTGATGAGGCCAAATTTCAAAAGTACCTATCACCAAGATGGGCCAAGCCTGTGTCAAGGAGATTACATTATCAAACTTTAGCAATGCAAAGCACATCCCTTACACCAAAGAGAATAGAGATACCATGGAAACATGGGCTCAGGTTGCTTTGTTCCAATGGAGAAGCGGTTACATGAACTTTTATAGTCACAGACCAAAAGCATATTATACATGAAGACATTTTCCAAATATATTGGTGGAAACATCGGATATTTGGATTACAGCAAGATGGAAAAGGCTGAGGTACAGGTTTTATATGCTAACTGATAACATTCTTAGCTTTGGGTTGCTGGAAACTAGCAGTCTATTATGTTAATAGACCCCAAAACTTTGTTCCCAATAGCTAAAAGGATGTTAACTGAGATACAGATATGGGGGATTGAGAGTTGGATATTATTAAAAAGACTACAGACAGTCCTAGGTCATTTTGGCTCTTCACCTGCAACATTCCAACACTCCACAATCACAATGTGTAATCAGTCCATCGACCTCATAGAGTCTTTAATCTTAACACGAAACCACTTCCATGTTGAAACATGTTACTGGGTACAACAAATCCATATCCCTGAGCCTCAGTCACTCATAGTCAGCTTAAAGTAAGCCATGTTGGCACTGGGACATGGCTCAGACAGTATAAGTGTCTGCTACACAAGCATGCAGACCAAGTCTGGAACCCAGCACTGATGTCTCCCTGTTCCCACAGCATGATCCCTTGAGCTCACTGGTCAGACAGCCTAGCCTAATCAGTGCGCTCCAAGTTTTTTTTTTTTTTTCTACCTCAAAAATTAAAGTGAGAGCCTAGATAGCTAGCTCAGGGTGGAGAGCACACTGCTGCTACAGAGGATCTAAGTTTAGTTTCTAGTATCTACATCAGGCAGCATACCATCACCTGCAACTCCAGCGCCAGGAAACTCAAAGCTTTCTTCTGGCCTCTGTAGACACTGTACTCATATGCTGGTACACACACACACACACACACACACACACACACCAAAAAGAAAAGAAAGTTGGGTGCTACAGTACGAACATGTAATTCCAGCACAGGAAGGCACAGACAGGAAGCTCCTGGGCTGGCTATCCACTCAAGCTTAATCAGCACCTCCAAGTTTGGGGAGAAGATTACTACTTCTCATGTATGCATCTAAAAAGTTCATACTTTTTCAAATAAACTATGAAATAGATAGATAGATAGATAGATAGATAGATAGACAGACAGACAGACAGACAGACAGACAGACAGGTAATAGATGGTAGGTAGATGATAGATGGATGTGAGATAATTTTCTTTTGATGGTGGTGGTGGTTTCTTTGGGGATTTAATCTGTTTGTCTGTCTGTTTGTTTGTTTGAGACCAGCTTATACCACATAACTCTGGCTGCCTTCAAACTCATAAAATCCATGCCTCTGACTCTTGAATGCTGCAATTAAGGGTATGTACCACCACACCCCGGTTAATTTTTAAAAGACAAAAGAGGGTGGACAATTGATTCAGCAGTTAAGAACACTGACTGCTCTTGCAGAGAAAAAGAGTTGATTCCCAGCAACCATATGGAGGCTCACAGCTGTCTAAAATTCTAGTTCCAGGAGATTCAACACCCTCTTCCAGCCTTCTCAGGCAACAGGGATACATGTGGTATTCAAATATACCTGCAGACAAAACACCCATTTACATAAAATAAGAAAAGAGTCATTTAAAAAGACAAAAGTAAGTTGGTCATGGAAGTAGAAATTATAAAGAATTTTTTCTATATACCAGTTAAACAACAAGGAGCCTCAAAGGGATAATAATAGTTCAAGTGTAACATATAGGACGGTGTTTAAAGCCACCAGAACAATGAGGTCTAAGCAGCTACACCTTATGACAAGTGTACCATTACCAGTGACCTATAAGGCAAATATTATGGCATGGACAGCTACACTCATCCTCACTTAAAGGCAGCTCAGTACACCTGATGTGATGGCACAGGCCTAGAATTCCAGCACCCGGGAAATGGAAAGAGAGTGAATCAGAGTGCAAGGTCCTAAATAAAGCCATGTCTCAAAAAATTAGCTAACTACTATTAATGTCTACTCTGTTAAGTGTTAGAATGATGATACGGTAGAAAAAGAAAAAATAAGGACATCAGAATCAGACAGAAATTAGTTCAAACAAATAACCTAGTTAGTTTCTTACATAACTTACATAACTAACCTTAGATAGGTCAACTTCTCTGAATCCAAGCAAAACTTTTGGGGCTAATGTGAGAGTTAAAGTTGTATTTTAAGTTTTAATTACTGTGCTTAAAAGATCTTGAAAAGACAATGCCTCTAAGCTGTTAGCACCCACTTGTGCAAGGGCAGATAACTTCCTGGAATGCTGGGGGCTGTTGTTGATGTAAGATAACAAGCCCACATATTTTCACTTCTGTAAACAATATTGGTTGCCCCAACTTCACAGGATGTGCTTAGTCACTTGTAGCTGAGAGGTACTTAGGCAGGAAGTACAGCAGGATGGATGTTTGCACCAGACTGGACAAAGGAAGAACATAGCCTTCTAAGTTTTGCCTTTATAAACACTGGAACTAAGGTGATTGCCATTCCATGGGAATCCTGGGTACGAACCTGGGCAGTGTCCATCATCCTGCTCAGTATATAATAAAGTTTGCTTCAAATTTGGCTCAAAAAATGTGGTAGAGGTCTTATTCTAGCCCAGTGGGATTAACAGTAAGTTTATGCGTCACCTCTATCTAACAACAGATAAATAATGTAAGCCAAGCGTCTGGCACATGCACTACACCACAGCACTCCATCACCAGTAGTTATCTTCCATCCCCCTCTCTCCAGCACAGACTTCTTACTCAGTGGAGTGTTGTTTACACTTCACAGGCTGTCCCTGGAGAAAGAAGTCAGGCTGGCAGCACTGGCTGCTGCCCAGTACAGTCGAGGTCTTGACCATTTCGTATGCAGTAATAAAAATGTGAGCAATATCACACATCTCTTCCCATCCCACTCCTGCTTCACTTTCTCAAAAATGAGACACTCCTGCTTTTTTTTTTTTTTTTTTTATCAGTTTCTTATCTATCTTCCCTAACAATACAAGTAATATAAAGGCAGGTACTCTGGTCCATGATGTACTGCAAAAAAGTCCAAGTAATTGGAAAATTTTTCAAAAGTAAAGACAAAGAAAAGTATTCTAAAGATAGAAAGATTGGGGGCTGGAGATATGGCTCGATGGTTAAGAGAAGATACTGCTCGTGAAGAGGACCCAGGGTTTGGTTCCTAACACCAACACAGTGGCTTACAACCATTTTTGACTCCAGTTCTAGGGGATGCAATCTCCTCTTCTGCCCAGAGAGGGAACCAGGCATGCATGTGGTGTACATACATACATACAGGCAAAACACTCACACATAAAAATATTTTCATTTTTAAAAAGATTAGTCTGAATAGAATACTAGTAGCATTGTCCCTGTTGTTTTATTTCCTTTTCCAGACCAAAAAAAAAAAAAAAAAGAGTACATACTCTTAAGTAAATTTCAAATGCTGAAATTGAAACAGCAATCTACTCTGCATCACCTAACACAATTAATTAAAATAAAGGGCTGACATGGCAGTATATGCTTTTAATCACAGCACTCAGGAGGAATCTCTGAGCTCCAGGCTAGCCAGAGCTACACAAAAGTCAAAATTAAACAAAAGGGTTGGTGACATGGACTGGGGTAAGGATGCTGGCTACCAAGCCCGCTGCCCTAAATTTAATCCCCACATGAGGGAAGAAGAGAACTGGCTTCCTCAAGTTGTCCTCTGACCTCCATAGGCACACCATGGTACATGCTACATGTATGCCCCACAAATACAAATTACATAAATAAGTATGTCAATAAATAAATGTAAAATAAGTAAATAAAGTACAAACATTTCCATATAAAAGATAATATTCATAGATGTCTAGATGGAACATGATCCAAGGCAGAAATCTTACCATCCTTAATAGGATAAGTACTTATTTTAGAATTATAAAAAAGGAAACAAATGCTATCATTTATTACCATATTTTTATTTTACTATTTTGGCTTACATGCACAGTCCCACATACCTTGCCTTCGTAAACTTTACCTGTATGAAGTAACATCTGCAAACATTCTACAGAGTTGTGATAAGCTGCTTCGTGAATTGGCATCCATCCCCTGTTATCGGCAACATCTACACTTCGACCTTTTTTGAGCAGTTTCCTTAAAATTTTAACGTTGCCTTCTCTGGCAGCAAGTCCAACTGTAGAGCATGTGCTTGAGTAAGCTTCTGTAAAATCCATCCTTTTGATTAGTCTATAAAACAAGGCCAGAAGACAGTACTAGTCAGTAAAACATCACTGAACTAGATATCAGCACATCACAGTGGGCTTGTCTTAGCATCTCCCATGGAAAATAGGAGAATCTGTCATGCCACACACAGCCTCTGCTAGAGCCCACCCCAGATGTCTCGCAAGTCAGTTCCTAGCAATATTATTTAAAATATCAAGGTAGTTTTTACTGTTCAATCTTCCCCCTCTAGAAATGTCAGATCTTTCCTATGGGCTCCCTATTCACACCACACCAAGACACAGAGACTCCACTATTAACTACCACTTCTAAATCCCACTTTACTACACCTCCGTATGAAACAGTTAAACCCAAAAAGCCTTTTATGATAAAAAAGAAAAAAATGAATAGTGTCTACTGAGAAAAGCAAGGATAAGTAGGGGTCCTCGTTTTCCTACTCTTGTTGGTCTTTTCCAGAGAGGATAAACACTCGGAGCTCAATCCTTCAAAGTGTCTCACTGAATGAATACAGCAAAGGCAACAATCAGGGCGAGCCAGCCAGCCCAACCTCATACACAAGATCCCTCCCTCATCATAGTCACCGCCCTTCAAAGCTCATTTCATGTTCTCTGGCAACCAAAGTCCCACACAGATCTCAGCATAGGACTCTCACAAACCATCAGTATATGTTGGGCTGAGAGTCAGGATTCTCAGGGAAACAGCTCCTAAAAAGTAAACTTCTCAGTACTATCCCCATCCCACATTTGATTTCTCCTAATGGCTGTTGGGGGAGGACACTTGTCCGAAAATGCCAACATATCGAGTCCAATACTAATTAAAACTTTCTAGAACCATATTCTAAGTAATTTACCCAAAAAAGAGTTTGAAGAAAGAGGTTAAAAACAAGCATAAAATAATTCCAGTAAACTTACACATGGTCACCTTCAAAATAAAACTGTAACAGTTGAAGTTGATTCTATACTATGCCAAAAAAGCTAATAAAGCTATGAATTAATATAATTAGGTAGAAATGACCATTACAGTAAGTGAAGATATTTATAAAGTAACATTCAATTGCTCAATTAGCAGTAATTTTTTTAAGCACAAGCTAAATGATCAGCAGTGACGACTATACACTCACAGATCCTATCTCAAAGTGCTTACAGCCTCACAGGAATGATAGCTATATGTGGTCCAACACAGAAAATATAAAGTGTCATGAAAGTGGAACACACTGAAAGTCATATAGATAGAGAAGAATCTGTGTCTACTTGGTGAGGGATGTGAGCTGTGCTGTATTTAACAGGGAAGATTTCTAAATGAGACAATGGGCAGAAGACTTGTCAGAAATGGAAAAATCAGAAACAAAAAAAAAGAAGATATATAACCAAAGGAAAGGCACAATGAGGAAGACAAGCATGTCACTTTGCAAGAATGATTAAAGAAACAAAAAACAGTAGAAAAATAAGAGATAGCTTCAGGGCCAAACTGTAGGATACTGAGAGCTAACCTATGCTTTTCGGAAACATACTAACTTCTTGACAAAATAATTACAAATAAAAGAAAACAAATAACACACTAATGATTTATACGTGTTCATTTAGACAAAAGAAAACTTATTTCTATCCTAAAAACATACATACAGGGACTCAACTTTAAAAATAAAGAACAATATTTGAGTAAAAACAGGTATATATGAGTCCCTGTCCAACATTTACTGGTTTCCCTCTTAGCTACAGTGTTATAATAACCTGAAAAATAATAGAAATTAGTAATATCTCTGAGCTCCTCAAAGGAAAAAGTAGTCTAGGAAAAATCTGCTGTAAGAGCAGCAGCCTCTCCACCTCTAACGGCAACTCTGACACGAACTCTTCGAAAGACATATCCTGTCACAACAACTACCCATGCGCTAGTGACTCCAGAACACTTTCAAGATAATTATGGAAATTTGGATATAGGATGTTTGATGTTGCAATTTTTAGTAATTTTCTAAGCTTCTAAAGACATGTATAAGAGTTCAATGTTAGGGCTGGAGAGATGGCTCAGTGGTTAAGAGCATTGCCTGCTCTTCCAAAGGTCCTGAGTTCAATTCCCAGCGACCACATGGTGGCTCACAACCATCTGTAATGAGGTCTGCTGTCCTCTTCTGGCCTGCAGGCATACAAGCAGACAGAATACTGTATACTAAATAAATAAATGTTTAAAAAAAACATAGAATAAACAAAAAAAAAAGAGTTCAATGTTAAGAACCTTTGCCTGGAATATATGCTTTAAAAACCCCTACAGTTTAAGAGAATTGTTTTGTTTCCTTACTATTTAAGTCACTGTAACATCAGTTATGGCAACATTAGCTTGTTTTTCAATGAGATGCCAACGGAAGACATAAAACAAAACTCATTCTGGTCTTTGGGGTGCGGAGTGTGAGTGTTTATGTATGCATCACTTAATTTTCAGTGTCTGAGCAATTTAAATACATGACACATTATAATCGAAAGAATACAAAGTACACAGAACAAAGGAAAACTAAGAGAACAGGTTTTCCAATAGTCCAATAGTCACCTGAGATTCTACAGATTTTCCTACTAGAGCTTCTAAAATAAATTTTAAGATGCCCTGCTATAGCTCTGCAAGAATAAAGCTACCTGAAGCAGGAAGCAAAAAAAAAAAAAAAAAAAAAAACAAACCTTAAGCATTGAATCTAGATACAAGGACCCTCCTCTCAACAATCCAAGTTAAGTACAGTAACAATATACATCATCCTCCAAGTTCCCCATCATCAAACAAAACAGTACCCATTCATCTGAGAAAGGGACTTTACATAGCATTGTAAAAACCAATTGTGGAGTTTAAGTAACAGGACAGCACAACTGCTCTTCTCAGAGATGCAGAGAACGTTAACTATGAACACGAGTGTTCTTGGCAATTTGGATACGTAAGCAGCTTCCACTAGAATCTAGTTGCTCTTTCACAGGCATAAAAGTACTGCTATAAAATTTCTGCTTCTTGTGGGTTCTGCTACTCAGGTAGCTGTTATATGTGGGCAGCTAGCCAATTTTCAAGTCACAACAAAATGCCTACGTACCAGGTGTGGTGCCCGTATGCGTGTCCTATAAAACAGCACCAGTCACGCCTTCTCTTTTACCCACTCTCTTAGAGGGAAAAAAAAACGGGGGGAGGGGGAACAGCTCCAACCTTAGTGTCACTAGTCTCTGAAGAGTTGTGGGTAATGTAGTTCTCCCAACCGGCCCCGCCCCTTGACTTTCCTAGGCAGAAAAGATCTGTGGGTTCATAGAAGCTCTGAAAAGGATCCGGGAGACCGCAACCCCAGTGTGCTTTGCGCCTCACTCTTGGCCAGCGCGCCTGCGCTGCCTTGAGCAGCCGGTTACTTGCGTCAGCAGCAGTCCTGCTCTCAAGCCGTGGTAGCAGCCAGGGTTCAGAAAAATGTGGGTGTTTGGTTACGGGTCCCTCATCTGGAAGGTGGACTTTCCCTACCAGGACAAGCTGATTGGTTACATCACAAACTACAGCCGGCGCTTCTGGCAAGGCAGCACTGACCACCGCGGGGTTCCCGGCAAGGTAAGCAGCCAGCACCAATTGCCCACCTATTGGGCAGAGCGTTAAGAGGGTATAATGATTTCAGCAACCTCCTAGACCACCTGCCCACGACTCTCTCCAGAGCGTGGACACCCTAAACTCGCTTCAGAAGCCGGCCGTTAGTTTCTTAGGCAGAAGGCACGGGCATGGGCCCACAAGCTCGCACAAGGCTGCAGTGGCCCTTGTCTTGGCAACCTCTGTCTAACCACAAGAATTAATAAAGATTAATTTTCATGTCACCTCATAACATGTAAATTCGTTGATATGTCTGCATTATGCAAGGCTTTTACTGGTTTGAATTTATGTGAGCCTGTGAATGTCTAGGGTTTATCTTTCCAATGTTTTAATTTAAAAACACTAAGATTATAAAAGAACTAATTTCCAAGGTTATTTCCAATTTTTATGCCCACGGTGATTACTTTGACTGGGAGGTATAAGCAAAGTTATGTGAGGTTTGCAGTTTGTTATGAGTAATACAATGTAAAATCTACATTACTTTAATGGTTCCTCCTCCATAGTTTTCTTGGATTATTAATGTGAAATACAAATCGTTTTATCTGCTTTTCATTTTGTCAATATGGGTTCAGAGAACTAGAAGCAGCTCACTGTTTATCAAACCAGCTTTGCATTGGCTGTAAACAACTAATCTGCGAAAGAAAAAAGAAAACAAGTATGAAGTAACTAGTAACTTGTTTGGTTAACTTCTAACCTTTGGAGGACTACATTTTGAATGCTTCTATGTTCTCTAAAATACTCTCAAAACTCACTTACTCTGCTGGTATGAGTCTGTAATCCCAAAGAGGATCACAAGTTTAAGACCTGGGCCTCAAACTCAGAAATTACAAAGTGACTGGGGCTATAGCTTAGTAGAAGAACCCTTGCCTAGCACCTGTGAGGCTCTGAGTTCAATTCCCAGCACCATTTTAAAAAATAATCTAAAGTACAATATTCTGAAATGCCAAAAGCCAGTCATCAGAAGAGATTCTTGCAAAGGGAAAGATCAAGGTTTTGAAATAGTCTGTACCTACCAAAAAGATACAGACTTGAAATCATGAAAAATATCTGAGTTAGAGCCACCTAACTCGAGTTTGTCAATTAAGAAATAAGGTAGACTCTCCTGGCCTATTGGAACCCAGAAAGAGAGCAAATGTTTATTTACAGGCCAACAGAAATATCATAATCAAAGACTTTCCAAGACTATCATAAAACTGTTAGAGGCATTAAAGAATTAAACCAAAGAAAATGCCTTTTGAGTATCAATTTTGATATATATAAACCCTAAGGTAGGTTTTCATTATAATGGCCAAGCATTAAGCAGGCATGTATATGGTTATGACTGAATATTTTACTACTTAAGATCAACCAAAATATATGTTTCTTACATAACACATCAAGGTGTGTGTATTGCCAGGCAGACTGCTGGTAAGAAATTGTCTAATAAATACACTAGTTCTTTAAAAGTTTATGTTTTTATGCTCTGTGTATCACTTTAAAAAGTAAGGCTAGAGATCAGGTAGAGACTGGGGTATGCCATTAATCCCAACACTTGGAAGAAAGAAGGAAGTGGTTCTCTGTGAGTTTGAGGGCAGCCTGGTCTACATAGTGAGTTCTAGAACAGCCAGAGCTACATAGTGAGACCCTGTCTTGGGGAGGGGGGGGGGTGTCTACCAAACTCTAAAAGGAGAAGATACATTTTAATAAATAAGGCCAGTGATGTGGCTCATCAAGTGAAGGACAAGGTGTCCTCGGACCTCCACATACAAGCTGTGGCGCAGTGCACACACGTAAAGTAAATAAATCTACAAAAATAGAAAGAGGAGAAGAGATCTATAAAATCCGCTGTTTCTTTGTCCTTAAATTTACTGAGACTTGGGAAAGAAACCTAGGGCAGGGAGCTGCACCGACTAAGACTTTTACACCGTTTATTAAAAGAAAAAATCCATCCTAGAAAATTAAAGGAAATATTTAGTATAGATATGTTCCAAGTATAGTATTATGTTAAAGGAATAGACAAAAATATCATACCTTGACTTCACATTTTTTTTTTACATTTATCTAAATGTTAACCATCTGGACAAGAATACAATCAGTGACAGAACTATTCAATGACTTACACCAGCTCGGGTGTTACTCAGGCAGATACACAGATGTACGATTTACTCCACATAATGCAGTAGAGAAAATAATATGTTGGATTTCTTTCTAAGTTTTTGTTTGTTTGATTGTTTTTAGAGACAGAGTCTATGTATTCCTGGTTGGTCTGGAAGTCACTAAAGCTGACTTCAAATTCAAGAGATTCAACTTCCTCTGCTTCTTAGATAGCTGGGATTAAAGGCCTGTGCCACCATATTATTTATTTATTTGTTCCTAATTTATTTAAGCATATATTTATCACGAAACTGATTATTTCTCAACAAAGTAAAAATTTGACTTAAAGAGAGATTTTCTCCAAAATATATCATAACTGCAAAGCAGGAAGCTTGTTTTATCTTGTTTTGCTTGATATAGGTAGGATCCTATATAGCCCTGGCTGGTTTTGAATTTGCTGTATAGCGAACATGACCATAAATTCCTGAGACTCCTGCCTCTATCTCCAAAGTCCTTTGAGTACAAGTGTAAATCACCACAACTGGCAAAGGGATCATTTTAATGCGAAAACTGTGACCATTTACTAGATCCTTAGCTTTTCTAGATTAAAAGTATTCCTTATCACCCGATAAAAACACCAATCATGACTTATTAATAAAGCATCTTCAAATCACATTCGTCTTGAAAGACCTCTTCTTGGCTAATGGTGATGCACAGCTATAATCACGAAACTGAGGAGGCTGAGACAAGAGGACTGTCACTTTGGGGGCCAATCTGGGAGACATAGCAAGATCCTGGCTTGTCTCAAAAATGAAGACAGGAAAGGAGGGGCGCACCTTGTAGCTCAGTTCATACTAATCCCTACTGCCACATAAACTGGGGTGTGGGAGAACCTCACTCCTATATTCAAGAGATAGGAGAAGTGGGAAGATCAGAAGTTAATTCTAGATCATCCTCAGCTACGTAATAAATACCAGGCTAGGCTGGGCTACACAAGACCCTGTCTTAAAAAATAAAGACCTCTTTCGGGAAACCCACAGAAACAGCTTACTTGAGCTAATGGGAGCTCATTGACTCTGGACTGACAGCTGGGGAACCTGCATAGGACCAATTGAGGCACTCTCAATGTGGGGGACAGTTCTGTGGCTTTGGCCAAAGTCCCTGGGGCCACTAGCAGTGGGACCAGAATTTATCCCTAGCGCATGAACTGGCTTTTTGGAGCCATTTCCTATGGAATAATACCTTGCTCAGCCTAGATGTAGGAGGAGTGGCTTGGTCTTGCCTCACCTGATATGTCAGACTTTGTTGACTCCCTATGGGAGGCCATACCCCTTCTGAGGAATGAATGGAGAGGGGGGTGGCTATGATTGGTAATGTAAAATGAAAAAACTTTTAAATAAAAAAAAGACCCCTTTCTTCAGTTTCATTTCTCCCTTATCAAAGAAAGCATTTACAAACATACACTGTTTTCCAAAAAATGCTGAAACTTGTAGTGGAAGGTGGAAAGGAATGGGGTTTGTACTTTAGCAAAGCACTTTTTGTTTTATTCTGTAAAATATCTTGAAAGATTTAAAGCCACAAAGCTATTCTAAGCTTTCAATGGAATAAGAGAAAGCAAAACAAAAGGCAAGCAGAGAAATCTCTTAGACAAGTGAGTGACAGAAAAGAGTCAAACTGTGGTGAACTAACTCTGAAGTCAAGCTTGCAGAGAACCAAGTCCAGTTCCCAGCGCGCACAGTGAGGAGCATACAGTTGTAACTCCAGATCCCAGAGAATCTTCTCTGAGCTCACAGACACACCCCAAACACAGAAACAAACATACAGTTTTTAAAATATTCACTTATTTAGAATGGGGAGTAGTGGACATACACATAATCTTAAAAGACAAAACCCTCAAGAACTGGATGAGCTGGGCAGTAGGGGAGTTCTGCAGGCATGTCTCATTCCGCAGTCCATTTTTCCTTCTTCCATCCCATACATTTTGCCAACCTAATATTCCCAAACACTTCTTCTATCATGCCAGTCACCTGCTACCCAAGAGCTACAGGTTTCAGTTTCTAATTTCTCCCACATCTCAGAGGCTTCTTGTTTTCACTCTTCCACTAACTTCAGTTCTGCCTTTTTAAAACAGCCTAAGGCCCCAAAGAGGCAAGTATCTACTTCTGCTGCCAACACATGAGCTCCCCATTCCCCAAACTCTGCTCTCTGGCTCTACAAATCATCTTTTTGAATCATCTCTCTTACAGGGGATGCTACAAGCAGCAGTCTGGGAACACTGAGACAGAAAGATCACCAGGAATTCAAGGCAAGAACATACTGAGTTCTAGGCCAGCCCAGGCTATAGACTGAAAACTATCTCAAAAGAATAATTGATTAATTAAAGTTAATTAGTTAAAATGCACTTAGGATGGTCTAGTCCTGACAGATAGGCTGTCTCATATAAGAACAGCTTGAAAGAAAAATAGACCAATTCTCAGTCAGGCATGATGGTGCATATCTATATAGTCCTAGCACTTCACAGAAAGAAGCAGGAGAATCCGGAGTTGAAAGCAAGCCTTAGCTACAAAGCGAGTTTGAGGCCACTCTGGGCTATATGAGACCTACTCTCAAAAATAAATACATAGATAAAAACAATGTCAGTTCTGGTATTAGCCTCTCAATATCTCAGTGTACATTCATTTATGAAGGTCTAAAAACAGATACCTTGAAGCACCCTTTAGCATAAATACAAAGGTAAAGGTACCTCATAGCTACGAGAGAAAATCACTCATTCACTCATACCTGAGACCCAAATATCGCCTAGTAGTGTTTCTGAACCAATAGTTCACCATGAACCAATAGTTTTATTAAGCATGCTATTACAAACACCTATTATCAGGTTCCAGACCTACAGAATCAGATCTAGTAGGGGTGTGGCCCAGCAATGCTTTAATTCTTTCCCTAAGTAAAATCCTTCTTACAACAGGTATAGTAAAACTTTATTCTATGACTAGTTGCTAATGTTTAGTAATTTAATGACCTTTAATTCAGAAAAAAAAATATATTTTCTACCTTTTTCAAAACAGCCCGGAAGAGTTGTGACTCTTGTTGAAGATCCTGGGGTATGATATGCTTATTTTTTACATAGTATTAAATAAAATATGAACTTTGTGCATTTTAATAATCAGTGAGATTTTATTGGTCATCACAGAAAATTTAAATTAAGTCTAGAATTCTTTTCTGTATTTGCTTTTTGGTTTTTGTTTGTTTGGCTTGGGGAGGTTGTTTGTTAGCTTGTTGGGTTTTGTTTTTTGATTCTGTTTTTCTATCTTTTTGGTTTATTTATTGATTTATTTGGTTGCTTTGGTTTTTAGAGACAGGGTTTATCTGTGTAGCCCTCACTGTCCTGGAACTCAGTTTGTAGTCCAGGTTGGCCTTGAACTCAGAGATCTAGCACGTAAAGTGAGTCTAGAGAGAAAGTTAAAATCAGAAGATACAGTAACAACAAAATACAGCCAAGTGATATGTAATCTCCTTTTTAACTCTTCTAAGTGAGTCTGGTGACTGAGGATTTTGTGATCCTTTCATATTAAAGGGAACAGGCTCCCTACAGCCAGATTATGACTAAGAATTAATTAGAATGCTTATAGTTCTGTTGAAATTTGCCTGGAATCTATTATTTTTCAACAACAACAACAAAAAAAAACCCTAAAAATTTCTTAACTGATTTTATCAACAGCACTTGTTATAATCAGACGAATTTGAAGTACTCAAAACTTTAATGGACAGTGCCCACTTTCTTACACTTTAAACTTGGTTAGAAATTTGTGCAAAACAAAACTCAAGCAGCATCAGGAGTGGCAGGGCAAGGCAGAAGGATCAAAAGCTCAAGGCCAGCCCTGTTCAAAAAGTTAGTCCTTATCTGAAAATTAAAAACCATTAGTAACTCCACATATAATCTGTACTATAAAACCTTCCAGAGATTTATAGTGGGAGAGGCATCTATAAGTACCTTATCCTCAAACCAGTAACTGTATCTTCTAGACAACAAATGGCTTCCACAGAATTTCTTAATGACCAGCAAACACTTGGTATTAGCTTAAAATAAGACCTTATGTACTAATTTGATGGAATAGACCTATCATTCTATGCTTGATACAAGTCAATTACTTATTCAGAATAAAGGTTTTAAATGCTGTTTTCCTTAATTGTTGGCCATCTACCCCTTTGAGGTACTTGGAAACAAAATTCCATTGCCTTCTAAGACTACAAAATATCCTAGGTCATAATGTATCTTCCCCTACTTTGATAGCCTTATAAATACAAAACCGTAATTCTTTCCATTTTTCAACAGGGCAGTGTATGGGGTGTTGCTTACAAACTACCAGTAGGAAAAGAAGAGGAAGTAAAAACATACCTTGACTTCAGAGAGAAAGGAGGCTACAGAACTACAACAGTCATTTTTTATCCAAAAGATCCTACAAGAAAGCCATTCAGTGTTTTGCTCTACATTGGAACGTGTGACAATCCTAACTACCTTGGTCCTGCGCCTCTGGAAGACATAGCTGAACAAATTTTTAATGCAGCTGGCCCAAGTGGAAGAAATACAGAATATCTTTTTGAACTTGCCAATTCCATTAGGAGACTTGTGCCAGAAGATGCAGACGAGCATCTCTTCTCCCTGGAGAGATTAGTAAAGGAACGTCTAGAGGGCAAATAGACCTCAGTAGCACAGCCACCAGCTCCTCCACCAGGCAGGGCTGTTAGCCCTCAGAAAGTAACTTCAGTCCAAGAGAGCAGTATGATTTGGATATTTTTACTTGAAGACCTTAGTATTCACTGTTATAATTAGAGTATCATCTAAATTTACTGTTTATTTACAAGTGTCCTAAAACATGCTCATAAGATTTGCATACAGAGGAAGAAGGAGTTGAAGTTATACAAGTGATTTTCTAACTAGATATGAACATTTGTTCATTAGACATACAGGTTTCAAGTCACTTCCTGCTTTTATCAGAGTAACCATGGTTTATGGTTTATATGCTTAAAATAACGTTATTAGAAATATATGGTAATAGATAAGGTTCCTTGTTATTTCAGATTAAATGAAAGTCAAATTTAGGCCAAAAGAAATTGGGTTTGTTAACATAAAATTTTCCTTGGAATTATAATGTGTTATCTTCTCCTTTGGGGGGAAAAGGCATTTTATTAGAAAGAAAACAGTCTAGCACGAATTATGTAAATCACATCCACTAATGATAATGTCATTTACTTTGTATTTATCTCATAATGAAACTGGGAAAAAAAAAAGATTTTCTGATAATTACCAATTAGTGAAAACATAATGAAAATGGTGTTTGAAACAGGTTTAACAATTATCATTTCTCAAAGAAGTGTCATTTCCTGATTATACTATGTACATTTTGTCACCTAAAAGGATCAACTTTTATGTAGCTACTTAACAATGAAGCTAATTTTTAAATTATTGACTTATAAAATTAGCCTTGATTTAAGATAATTGGATTATTTCTTTAATATAAGGGCTCTAGAATCAACACTAAAAGACTTTCAGTTTCAGGGTGAGTCTCCTGTGAGGCTTACTAAGAACTCATCAGGTATCCAGTGTGGTGGCTCACACCTATTTTTAACTTGGGAAGTTAAAAGGGAAGAGTACCCTGAGTTCAAGGCCAGCCTAGACCTCCAGAGTCAGACCCTGTCTCAGAAGAGTAAGCCAGGCACAATGGCTCACACCTGTAACCCAATAACCCAATACTCTGGAAGCTTAAATAGGAGACTCCACAGAGTTCAGGGCCAGCCTAGGCTACAGAGTGAGCCCTTGTCTCAAAAAAAGCAAACAAAACTTCTCAACTAATACAGAAATATTTCACATGAAAAATAAAGTTGCCCTTTATTAATTAATAATTTTATGCTTATTATTGTTTATTAATTAGCCCCTTAGCAATTTACTCATATAACATTTTAAGTATTTTCTAATATTTAAGATTTTTAGTTTTCCAGGCAGTATTTTGCATATCTGGTACTATGAAGGTTACTAGCATTTAGTAACATCTAATAACATGATATGATGCAGTTTACACAGGGGACATATTCTCAGTTTTTAAGAACTGCTCTAAGCTTGTTTCTATCGTTTGCAGCCATTTACAAACATAACAAACACAGAAATCTCAATCTCTCTAAAGCACACAATACTACAGTATATCTAAAATATATATATAT